AGCAATGCAAATGACCAGCAAATGGTTACAAGAAGTATCTCACTGAAGCTGGTTAAGGTAAAGGGAGTATTACCAGCTGATAATGTGTGGGATTCTCTTGATATGTTCTCAGCTAGAAAAGGAATGAAAAAGTAACTGTCTAATTTTCAAATCGTTTTATGTTATGGCTGTATTTCAAAGACACAATAGGACTTGATGTTCCAGTAAATCCTCTTAATTTTTCACAGTCTAACTCATATCTAACATGTGTGTTTCAGTATCTCAGCAGATTGCATAATACTCACTCGCAGTAATAGCCCGTCATGTTCCGGGGGCACAGACACGTGTAGCTCCGGAAGCCTTTAAGACAGGTGGCACCGTAGCTGCAACTGCTGTTTTCACACATATCGACTTCTACGTCGCAGCGTTTACCAGTGAAGCCCGCCTCACACTCACACTTAAAGCCCTTGGATAGGTTGGTACAGTTTCCGTAGACACATGGATGGGAGATGCAGGTGTCTGTCTTTTCTTGGCATAGTGACCCTGTCCAGTCAGAGGGACATGCGCACCGATGCAGGTCAAACAGGTCTTCACAGGCACCCCCATTCTGGCATGGGTTTGGAGAACATACACTGGCTCCCCAGCATCCATACCATGGGGAATGATTGCTGTTACCCCTCACAAACTGCTCCTCCTGAGGTCTGGGGAGGTTCAGCTCCTTGTCCAGGTGGAACGGTAGATGAAGACCCCCAATCTTTACTGGACCTAGACACCCTGAAAAGGTGGCTCCCGATTCCTGGTTCAAACTTCCTACGAAAATGTCAGCTCCATCCCTGAGAAAGTTCAAGTCACCAAAATTTGCTCCAGAAACACTGATGTACTTTTTTTCTCCATCTACCTCAATGATCCAACTGGATGCTGGAGTCCGTTTGTCCTTGCTGATCGACACAAAGTGCCACTCACCGTCGCTGAATGGAGCCCGGCTCTTGGCTGTCACTCTCCCAGAATCTTTATTAGCCCCGGCCTGGAGCTCCATAAACAAATGAGAGTTGAGGAGAGAGAGCGTTATGATGTCAGTGCCTCTCTGAGAATAGAGCAAAATGGCCTCCGTCTGTCTGGTGCGAAAACTGAAGGAGATGCTGGTGAGGTTGCGCTTAATTTTTCCATTACTGTGGTACCAAAAAATGTTGTTTTCAAGCCGAAATGTCACATTGGACAAACCTGAGGTTGACAAAGAAATATAAACGCCCTGGTAAATAAGTTATTCTGGTTTCAGTACATTTAGGCAGCATTATTGTTCTACTATCTAAACTTTTAAGTCTGATACACTGAGTCAAATTAAGACAAGCTATACTTTCTAATAAGAAACCAATGAAGGGTGCAAAGTAGTAAGGGGACATGCCTGTACTCCACAGTGAACATATAATCAAATCAGGGGAAGCAATTCATCTACTTAGAAGGCCCCTTTGTTTGTATTCAAATAGCATGAAAATAAGTTAGCCATTTTTAATGTAGTGCTGCTTCTTGAAAGCCAAAGATAACCTGGCAGAAGAAAGTAGGAGTCAGAGAATAAAACTCAGTATCTTCTCCTTTGTGTGTCAACAAGTGACCAATACATTACTTACAGGCTATTTTAAGAGACTGGTGAAGATTCTCAGTCATCCGGGTCATAGTCATTGCAAAAAAGCTAAAAAAAAAACAACAATCCTCTGGACTTTGGTTTCAATTTAGAAGACGTTTCACTTCCCATCCAGGAAGCTTTTTTTAATTCAAAATGTCAGAAATCGCGTTGAGTTCAAGGCTTTATAGAGCGGACCAAAGCAAAGCCTTATTTTGGCTTAGAAACATGCAAATTGATGAGGACACACACAATGGATTGTCTTTTAACTGTATTGGAATAGTTTAAGAGACACATACTGAGATGAATTAATAGATTTTGCTTGTATTATATTGATAATGAGAGAAGTTGGGCATTTGGGCAATCGATTTGTATACCAATCAAAGAGGATATGCTATATAATGGATTTATTAGTTACCTGTCTTTACTTGCTAGAACTGTTATTGTGGGTGTTTTGGATCAACCCTCTTCCCTCTTTGGTCAAGAACATGTGAGAAAGAAATCTTGTCACCACACACCACCACAGGCATGTGCCAGTATAGCTAATCTGACCAGGGATTACCACGTCTTAGGGGAATCCTCTGTGGGAACTCTGTCTCCTCCTGTAATTAGCCAGATGGTAATTAATAAGTCTACAGTTACATGCGAGTCCTGCTCAGGAGGGGGAATATAAATTCTCTCCGTACTTGGTATGCTATTCTTAAAAAAGCCTTGCTCTTAGTAGATGCATTGTAATGCTGCAACAAGATCTTTAAAGACACGGTACTTACACTCAAAGCCTTGACTGAGGGGTTGACAGACGGTTGTAACAGGGCAGGGAGACAGCTCGCACCATTTTACCTCTTCACACCTTTGCCCCGCTGTGTTGGGAGGGCAGCTGCAGATGAAATCGTCCCACATGGAGTAACACTCTCCCCCATTAAGACAAGGGTTTGCCTGGTGTGTAAAAGACAGGAATGAGGGTTGAAGCTGTCTCATTTGAAACAGAGGTAAAGGTTGACAGCACCGTTTGTTGACTTACAGCACAGGCGTTGTCGCTGCTGCATCCCTCCGCAACACCTACGAGCTTCTGCAGGCTGTACGACTCAACAGGAGTTGGTATTGGGTAGAACTGCAGGCGTTTGCTGTTGATTCTCAGATCCTGGACACATCCTTTGAAGTATCCACCAAATGAAGCTGAGGCCCTTGAGTCTGGTAGCCCTCCAACGTAAACCGGATCGTCGGGATTGGCTTGGACTCTCCTGATGGTCATAGAGCCTTCAATTTGAGCTGACTGGAACAGCGTGGCTGATGTTCCTTCCAGCTTTACAGTGACCAGGTGGAAATGGCCATTGCTGACTGGATTCCGACCAACAAGAGTCTCAAAGTTGTTAACCTGAACTTTGATCTTGCCCTCCACCAGCCACAGGCGAAGGTACTGGCTAGTGGTGTTGGCCATGATGACAAGCAGCCCGCTGGTTTGTCTAGTGCGAATGAACATGGATATCACCAAAGAATCTCCCGGGTTGTTGTCTAATGAGAACACGGCATAGCTCTCAAGATCTTTGTTTCCAAACCGGGCACTGATATACTCTGTGATGAAGGAACAAGAAAAGAAAGATTGCTATGAAAGAGAACCTGAGAAAAAAGGTGGTTGTAAATGAGGCTTTTGACAAAATCTTCCAACTTTTTAAATTTTAACCCCAACCTTGATGCAGCTAGACAAGGTATTGGTTTATGGTAGAGAGGACTTTAAAATTCTTTGATAGACTAACAGAGGTCTTTGCAGACAGATACCAGGTTATCTCAGAAGACCTCTGCACCCACATGTCCATGATGTGACCATTGCTGATGGTGCCCATGCTAAGCTGCTCAGTGTCTCTATGACTCTGGAACTCCCTTTCTTTTGGTATTTAGTTCGATAAACTCTTTGGTGTCTGTTAAAAGCCTTTTTTAAATCATTTTTTATTAATTTATCTTAGGATATTCATAAAACATCATTGGATCTTTTGAACTACATTGTTTTTTATGTCTTGAGTAAGCCCTACACGACTTAAGTTTTACTTTCATGTCAATAAATATTAGAGTTGTATTAGTAAAATAACAAAGTGATCTTGTTAAGTGCTAAAAAGCACAATAAATGGTAAAACAAGCTATTCTGCGTGGTTAAAAACTACTCCTTATAACCCAACAGTTTGGAAGAGAAGCTCTAGCAGCATTTCTTGCAATCCTTTTGGATTTAACTTTATGTTTCTCTTTGTTATGGTTTTCCCCTTTTGGGACTTTGAGTTTTTAGTTTTAAGCTATCAGTAATTCTGTTTTGTTGATCTTTGGTTTATTTTCCATTTTATGTTATGTTTAAGCAGTTTTAAGTTACTCTCTGTTGCCCCCTTGTGCCTGTCTCCTTTCCTCTAGCTCCCTTCTAGTTTCTTCTATCCACACCTGCTCCATATCAGTTAATTACCCTGGCCTTTGTTCTGTCTCCCATATATACTCTCCCGGTGCAGTTCTTCAGTGCTGGTTCCTTTTTGTTTGTTGAATCTTTATCTCTGGCTCCCCATGTGAGTTTCTTTGATGTTTGCTGTTTTTTGGTTCTCAGTATTTTTTTGTTTTTGGGTGTTTTTTTTCATTAAATCTGCAAGAGCTCATTTCTGCCTCACTCATTTCTGCATTTGAGTCCTCAACCAACCTCCAACCACACACTGACACTCATATGTTGTTGTGGATAAACTTTTAAGTAGTTTGTCTTTATATCAAGATTAGTTTATCAGTAACCAATTAAGGTGCTTACCTGTTGGTTTAGTTTGCACCAATGTACTCAGATTGGATTTTACATCTGTCCAAGCAACATTGGTCTGTTGTTCTTGTGGCAAATTTGCAAACATGTATCATGCTGCTGTGTTTTTGTTAAAAGAAAATAACTTTGTCTGGCAGAAGCTATTTCAAACAACCGTATTATTTAAAAGCTAACCTTTGCCTCAATCAAATGTGATGCTCTTCACTTTAGCTGTTCTCCGTGAGGGTCATGGAGTCTGGGAAAGGGCTAAATTTGCCTGCACCTTCACTGATGAAAAAAACCCTGCAGCTTTCCTGAATGTTTTCTTTGTTTTGGATTATGCCTCAGTATCTTATCCAGGATAGCTGGTCACTTACTTTAAGGCTGTCAGGATTTTTTTTTTCTTTTCCTGTTATCTCTAACTTACCTACAAATACATGTATCTAAATTCAGCATATTGAGTGTAGGTGTTAGAGTTAAATCGGTTTGTTGACATGTAATGCTCTGGTTAAGTTCAGTCCTTTCATGATTCAAAGACGTGTTTTGATTTCTTTTTCTTGCCAGCGTTTTATCGTTATTACACTGTCACAAGTACAGAGCAATGAAATTAACTCTCTGCATTTAACCCATCCCGTTGGGAAGCAGTGGGCTGCCATTGTGCGGGGCCCAGGGAGCAGTGTGGGGGTTGGTTGCTCAGGGACCCAGAGTGGCAGTTTGTGGGAGTGGGGCTGGAATTCAGAACCTCATTATTCCAAGCGCAATGCCCTAACCGCTAATCCACCACTCCCCAATGTAGGCATTGGGTCTTGACCTACACTGGCAGAGCAGTGTGACTTACCACTTGAGCTAGCCGGCTGCTAATAACCAGGAGACAAACGTTAATCCTAAAACGTGCTTCTTCCCTCTTTTTTTGTCCAGTCTTTTTATTAATTACTCAAACTTTGTCCTTTAGGTCAAATAAAGAATGCATCAGAGTAACCGACTTCACTGGAATGTTCAGCCTATTGGCGGCTGTTTCGACAATGAAGACCATAGAGTGAGAAGAAGAACATGCAGAATGGAACTGTAAAGAAGACGCTGATCTGATAAGGCGTCCTGATCTGGCTGGCTGAGGGCATTCCTGCTTAGTCAGAGAAGGCCACGTTTTTTTAATCCACGCTGCAGGTGTCAGTAAATGGTTTCTGATTTGAAATCCGTGTGACCGGGCTTTGGGTTACTTCTATTTACCCTTTAAGCTCTTTGGAATCTGCTGTCTAACTTTACCCTGTTGGGTGTCTCTCTTTAAAGTGATCCATTTAGACTTCTGCTGCGACTGAACTTAACCTATAGCTGCTTTAACAGCCTGGGGTCAATTCTGCTTACTGTGGGTTATTACTAAAGGTGAAAGGGCTGGAATCACCGGAGCAGTTAAAACTTTGTGCTGGTTGGGACAAATAAACACACACGTTGAACTTAATGACATTTTCCTGCATAAAAACCTGAAACATTTTCATTAGATTCATTTTGATAGTCCATATAACAAGAGCAGGGACAAGGCACATGTTAGCTCTGGAGCAGCTGCTACTATTAACAGCTCAGGTGGGGGAATCTACTCATTCAGTTGGTAACTTTTCACATTTATCTATTCTAATTAAGGGCACTTAATACTAGCGTCGTGAGACCATCCTGATCTCACNTCTGATTGGTTTATTTGGCCCGTCTATCACCAACATAGGCCAATCAGCTAACCAGTATTTTCGCCCCTTCCCAAAATTACTTCTACGGAAGGTTTCCAGATGGATATGCGGAGCAAATCCATCTGGCGGAGTCAGGTTAACTTAATACACTTATTTCAGGAATTTTTCACTTATTTTTAGATCAGATTTTGCACTGTATATCAGAGTAGAAAGATGAAACCCTTTACAGACAGAAATGCTCACTGGAGTTCTGTCTGCAGCTCACAATGAGACATGCAGGAGGCGTGGCAGACGTGACCAAAATGCACCATCATCACTTTGAGATTGCTTTCCTTTGATTTGAGCAAGTGAACAAAACAATTCTCCACTGGAGTAAGACAATTTATCTTTAAATTTAGAAAAAAGCAACAACTCTGTGATCTTTTTTCATATCCATAATATAGAGTTACCTTATTTTAATAACCATCATTCCACTGGCAGATTATTTTATTTACCTGTTCAAATTAAGCGTAACTGCTACCTTTTTAAAGAAGCATTAATTCTAGATCAGCATTTACAGTGTTTCTATGGGAAACAATTTCAATTTAGTCCATGAGGCAGACACCCTGTCTTCTTTTAAGGCAAGGCTCAAAACTTTCCTTTTTGATAAAGCTTATAGTTAGAGTAGCTTTTTCTATCGTTATGCTGCTATAGGCTTAGACTGCTGGAGGACATAGGGACTACTTCTCATCATCCTGCTTCATTCTATCTCTGTTCTCTTCTGTAGTATTTGTTTTTTCATCCTCTTACTTTATGCTCTCTCTACTTTTTCTCATCATATTAGCTTCATCTGGTCTGTTCCTGTTTGGATGTGAAAAAAAATAAAATATTCTACTTCTGCATTTTTCAATAATGTTATGTTTGTTAGTTTAATCTCTAGTTTTATGTTCTCTCTATTTTTACATCATCATTTTAGCATCATCTGGTTCTGTTAAGTACAGGATAACCCTGGAGAAAAAGTGGAATTTCAGACCAGGTAAGAATTCTATGTTAGACATAGAAAACAGTGTTAAAACAATAAAGTGTACTTTAGCTGCAGCTTTCAGGAGCCGTTTTCCAGCTGTGGCTAAAAGGCTCTTCTACTGCATTTCAGCTATACTGGATCCATGGTAAAAGTCAGACGTTATTTAAGGTTGAGGTCCGATTGTTTTTTGTTTTTTTTTCCGATTGTTTTTGCTTTTATTCTGCTTTTATTTTTCTTCTATTTTATTATCAAATTCATGTAAAACGCTTTTAATTGTCTATGTACCGAGATGTGCTATACAAATAAACTTGCCTTGCCTTTCCTTGACCATGTTATACTCATGATCATAACAAGTGTTTTTGAATATTTAAACAAATATGTAAAGTAAAAAAGAAATATAAAGCTGTGTTCAAATTCTAGTGTTTCAGAGAAATAAAATAAACATAAAATACATCCATCCATCCATTTTCCTTCACGCTTTATCCCTACTGGGGTCGCGGGGGATGCTGGTGCCTATCTTCAGCTGTCTACGGGTGAAAGGCGGTGTACACCCTGGACAGGTCGCCAGTCTGTCACAGGGCAACACAGAGACACATAGGACCAACAATTATTCACGCACAAACACTCACACCTAAGGAGAATTTAGAGAATTCAATTAACCTGATAGTCATGTTTTTGGACTGTGGCAGGAAGCCGGAGTACCCGGAGAGAACCCACGCATGCTGATTTGAGAACATGCAAACGAAAGACTCAGGCCTGGAGATTTAACCCGGAACCTTCATACTGCAAGGTGCAAAAAACTACGCTATCTTTTGAGTTTTTACAGCACTAGTGGCTTGTTTTTTTAGACAGTAGGCTGACAGGAAAGGGGAAGAGACATGCTCAAAGGATCACAGGTCGGATTTGAATCCAGGTCGGCCATGTTGAGGACCAAGGCCTCCGTACATGGGTCATGTCCGCTAACCACTGCTCCACCTCCAATAAAACTCTTGTGGAACAGATATCTAACTGATTAAGTTCTACTTTGCTACAGAAATACGCTGCATATTATTTCATAGAATCTAAGGCATCTTTTGGGTTTTAAAAGCAACTTTCTAATGTTATTTTGCAGCATACTTGATTTTTTTGTGGCTTTTGTGATGTCATATTTTTCTTTATTCAATCACATATAAATCAGATATAGTAACAGTTAAAACATTGGTTCACTGGAAAAACTTCTAAATCTTCCCTTTTGACAGCTATAAAAGGTATGCAGTTAGACGTGATTACAGTTGATCTATGCTTGATTTTCTTTCAAATTTTCCTGAGAACTACTCTCAGTGTGTGTGTGTTACCCTCTGCACAGTCCTCTCCGTCGTACGGCCGGTGGCATTTACAGGTGTACCTCCTCCAGCCCCGGCTCACACAGCGCCCCCTGTTCTGACATGGGCTGTCCTCACACTTGTCTCTGTCACTGCATCCAGCTACGATGTTCGCCTGGATGCTTGAATCTTTTGGCGCTTCAGCAGGCAACACCAGGAGTGAATCTACAAAGACATCCCTAAAGCAGCCCAGAAATGCAGGCGGATGGTTTGCTTCATCCTCCACTCCGCCTGAAGACCAGTTCCCTGCAATTGCTCCAAGGAAGAGGGTTTGGCGAACAGCTCCTGGCTCAGGCAGAGCAGCAGTTGAATGCATCGGATGCACTGCAGCGCTGGAGTTTCTGGTGCAGCTCCTTTCTCTGCAGAGAAGCCTGATGAGACTGACCGCGCCGCCCAGTGATGCTTCAGCTGTGTGCCACTTGTTGTTTGATAAATACTCAGGGAGTTCTTGAACCAGCGCTTTGTTGCTTTCATTCTTCAAGCTAAAGAGGCAGAGTCGTCCATCCATCAGCTCGATGGTGAGAAACAGATCATCCACTCTACGTTGAAACAGAGTGCCGGTTGGGTTCTCCGTCCTAAAGCTGAAGGTCAAATTTAGAGGTGATTCTGATTCTAGTTGCTTTGTGTCTATGTACATGTAGCCCTGTGACTCAAATGAGAAGGTGGTGGAGGTCCGGCATCTAGGCCCTGAAAAACCTGGAGAGCAGATGCACATAAAAGTGTGTTGGTCATTCACCAACAAAGGAGAACATCTTCCTCCATTCTCACACTGGCTTTCTTCACAGCCTGTAAGAGGAACAGTACAGTTCTCCCCGACATACAGGCGTCCATTTTGGCTCTGCTGCGAACAAAGGCATCGGAATCCTTCCGAGTGGCTTTCACAAACTCCACCATTTTGGCATGGCTGCTGTTCACATCCACCGAGGTCCTCAGTGTGAGATGTTCCTGCAGAGAAAACAAAAAGATTTGTATGTTATGTCGATACAATGCAAACAGTTGTGGAAGTTATCTCACGGATAATCAGAGATCAGAGAGCCTCATGGAGGAGCTGCAGGGAAGCTCAGTTTAGGAGAGAGAAACTATTTACAGAACCACTATAGGGGGAGTGGTAGCCTAGTGATTAGAGCATTGTGTTTGGGTGCCAGAGGTTCTGAGTTCAACTCCCACAGACTGCCACTCTGGGTCCCTGAGAAAGACCCTTTACCCCACACTGCTCCCCAGGTGCCTCAAAGTTGCAGCCCATTGTCCCCCCTAAGGGTTTGGCTAAATGCAGAGGTTAATTTCTCCAGTGTGAGATTATTAAAGTTAAATTATTATTATAAGTCATGCACTGCACAAATTAGAGATCTTTGGAAGTGTCAAGAAACAAAGCAGAGATGAGAGAAAGTTCCAAAAAAGTAAAAAAAAAACAATCCACTGGACTTTATTTCCAAGTTTAAAGATGGAAGGGAATGAAGCTTTTTCCATTAAAAATGTCAGAATTAGCATTGAGCTCAAGGCTTTATAGAGTGGACCAAAAACAGAGCGTTGTTTTGACTTAGAAAACATGCAAATTGAACCGAACAAATGAGTCCTCGCTTTAGGAATAGGCTATCATTTGGGTTCTTTGTTAGCCTACAACACCCGATACATGTCTATGAAGGAAAGTTGTTCAGAATTGACAACAACGGACACAGCAAGCATGACAGAGAAGTTGCTCTGTTACAGTATGAAGAACCATAAAATAAACTTTTCAGTTGAAATGTTTTTCTGAAAGGGAAAACTAACACTGCACATCTCTTTGATACACCATAAACCTGCAGTGAAACAGCAGCAGTATCATGCAGTGGTGATAGTTGTCTCCTTCAGAAACAGGGAAGCTGGTCAGAAGGATGAAGTGAAAAACAGAGATATTCTGGAAGAAAAGCTGTTAGATGCAACAGAAAAATAGAGACTGAGACGGAGCTTCCAACAGGACCTCTGTGTAGAACAGAACGGTCTTGATATGCATGTGTTTTAATGGCCAAGTCAAAGTTTATACCAGAAAAAAAAAAAGGCAAGGCAAGTTTATTTGTACAGCAATATTCAATATGAAGACAATTCAAAGTGCTTTACATGAATAAAACAGTAAAATAGAAGCAGAAATGTAAAGCAAGGGGAGACCAAAGATGGAGTCCATGCACAATTACTAGGACTGTGCTTTTTTTCCAAAGGAAATTCTAATTATTCAGTTTTTAAAGATGCTAAGTGTTAGGTTTATTCAATGATGATTATAAAATTAATGTGTGTTTATGAAACATTTGTGCGAGGGGATGCTCCACTCCCGTCTCATGATCCAGTCAGGAGACCATCCTGCCTTGTCATTCTAGTGGAACGTCCTGTTTTTATGAACTGATCAATTGTTCTGTCAGAACAATACTCTGTTTGTAACCATGTGTCATGTTCTGTTAATAAAACGCTCTGCGGAGGAGGTCTGGTGGGAGACGGTGTGTTTGAGTCTTGGGTTCAACTGTCTCTCCTTTCTGCAGAAATTGTATCCATTACTGTGTATTTCAGTTCTTCTTTTGCAAACCTACATTTATGGAACCGAAGCAAAGCTTCCTTAAAGGACCTGTGACTGTAATCCCATAAACACCAAGTTGGGGGATTGCATATAATGAGACACACAAATGCAAATTTCCCATAAAATAAATGTACCGTTTTAAAAGTAGATTTAATATATATTTACAAAAAAACATATACAGGCTCAATTGTCTGTTATTATGTTTTTTTTAGGTCATAGGCTGAAATGTTTGGAAAACGCCTTCTCTAAAAGTTGGCTTGACAAATGTTTGACCCCATGAGGCTTAATAAAAATAATTGCAATTTTGAGAAATTATGCATGAATTTCTATGTGCGTCATGAATGTGTGGCTGTAATGTGAAAAATATTTGACAAAGTTCAAGCACCATAGAGGTCAGATAATATTTCACTACATATCTAATGAGGAGCTTTACTTGCTGCAGCATGCAACAAATATCAGCAGGTCTTATCTCTACAACTATACATCGGATATGTTACAGTACCTGCAAAAAGCAACAATAGAATCCACACACGCATGTTGAATCTTAATATTGCTCTCCAAATTGGCCACTATCTTCAATTTTAGATCACAAACATCTGGAGGATACTTGCACGTGGAGCTCCATCGTCATCTACTCCCCTTAATGCAGCTATGCGTTCAGAGCAACGCTTTGCCTGGGTTATGTTAGATAGAAGAGATTAAGCTAATGCACTTACACAGTCTTACACATTAAACATGTTGGGGAGGGGAGGGTTGCACCGGGGAGGCTAATCTCAGCAGCTACAAGCATGTTCCCAAACACAAAAGAGATGTTATGTAAGAGACTGCAACGGGATTTTTTTATGGCATCTCACGGAGCAACACCTAAACGTGCACAATTTCTAAGCGATGAACTTGAATTTAGATTATATTTTTTAAAAAGGAGCCATGTACAACTCAAAGATAAAGTGGGACAAAAAAAAGTATTCAGTCAGCTACTGATTGTGCAGGTTTCCTACTTGGAAAAATGAGAGAGGTCTGTAATTCTCATCATCGGTTAACTATGTGAGACAAAGTGAGGAAAATCCAAGAAATCACATTAAGGATCGCCAAAGACTTTTGTTCTTTATTATTCTTCCTTTAACACAGATCGGTCATCCTGTCCGTTTTGCAGAAACCAGACCCAAAGCATGATGCTTTCACCCCCTTGCTTCATAGTAGGTACGGTTTTTCTTTCTCTAAACGAGAGTTACATTTCTGCCAAAATGATTTCATCTCACCTCATGATTTTCTCTCCATCTTCTTCTGGATCATCCATCTGCTCTCTGACAAACTTTTTTAGCAGGGAGTCACACCTGGCTAGGCAGGATACGAGTCCCTTTGGTGGTAGTGTGCTACTGATGTTGGTGTTTGTTCCAAGCTGAAGAAAGTGAGCAGAGTGGTGAGAACAACAGAGGAGATCATAGGGCCTCCTCTTCCGTCCATAAAAGACATTTCATCCTAGCGCTGCGTGCCCTGAGCTTGTAACATCATCAGTGACCCCTCACACCCTCACCATGGACTGCTCTTCCTGCTGCCCTCTGGGAAGAGGCTTTGCAGCATTCAGTGCAGGACCTGCAGATTCCGAAAAAGCTTCTTCTCCAACGCCATCAGAGAGCTGAACTGTTAAAAAAAAACTCTAAATCATGTCACCGACTCTGCATTACACTAACAACTAAAATACTGCATATTTGCACCATATATATTTAATGCTTTGAACTTCCATATCAATGCATTTCTTTTGCACCATGTTTTTTTTTCTCCCACACTGCTGTGAGATCACTGATGCACTTTAAGAAAATGGAAGTGTCATGAAAGTTGTACAAAACGTGTATACAAAATGAAAATTAAAGTTGTTTAAGTCTAAGCTCTATGCAGCTCATTCATCAGGTCCCTCCATGTAGTTTAATATTTCAGATGTGCAATGTCAATATTTTTTTTAAAGGCAAAAACAACAGAAACATTAACACACAATTATTAACACATCAAATAATACAATTGATAGCAAATGTAGGGAGTGGAAATGCATGTGCCTCTAGGGATCTCTGATGGCTGCTGAATGCACTATGGAACTGATGAACGCATGCATCTTTTGGCCAAGGCGGAAACAAGAAAAAACGATAATATCGACCAAAATAATATCGACCAAAAATATCAGCTGGCTATTGCATCAGTCTACATCTACTTTTGCTTTCTGCAAATATGTTAGTAGCAAATATGTTAGTAGCATTTTCTTCACTGGTGAAAATATTCTGATGAAAAATAATAATGTAACAATTGGTAAAAATAATAACAATGATAACTTCAATTTACAAATTGATAAAATGACTTATTTGGACGACAAACAAAACATCAAATGTTGGTAAGTCTGGCTTTAATCCAGCCTCTATTTGGCTCTATTTGGTTGGGGAGAGTTATTTGTTTTTTAATGATATGGTGGGGGTAGAAAGTTTGAAGAGTATGGGGCATCATTCAGCTGGAAATGATCCTAGATTAGAGTTCCAAAATCCGAGGTGAAGGGAACGCAGCACCAGTTGAAGCAGTCTGAACTACATTACCCATGATTCCTTACTGTCAGCAAGGCTTTGAAATGTCAGTCCATTAATCCATGTAAGCAGATGTAGCTTGACGTTATAAGTTTTAGAAATAAAACAGAAGTATTGTTATTTTTAAAACATTAGGACGTTTCTTTGAGCTTTACGCAACTTTACGTCTGCAATGGAGGGAAGCAGCCGCAGCAGCCAATGGGGGAGCGCTTTGTTTCGGCGTCCGACATTGCTGGTGGGGCGTTGCAGCTAGTTGCTCAGGAAATTATTATGCCCTCTATATTTTTCCCATTTTCTCCTCGCCTGTGCTAAAAAACGTCAAAATGGAGGCATCTCTGGCGTGATTGGTAAGATATTTTAGATACGTCCCGATTGAAAAAAGTGACTTGATGAGGAAACGGGAAAGGTCGTTTGTCGACGCTCTCCTCGGAGGGGGGCCCGCCCGTCAGATAACAGCAGAGGGGGGGTCCTGGAGGTGGAGGGGGGGTTCATAAACACAGTCTGTCCAGAATGAAGCAGAATCAGTGCAGGTTGGTTTAGTTCTGCGAAACACTCGACAGCTATAAACCTTAAAGAACGTCTTAAACGTCCATGATACGGCGTTACTACGCTGTATTATTACGGAAATTCTTCATTATACTTAAACTTGTTACGCTTTAGCTATTTTTAACATCTATCAACGTAGTATTTGAGGATTGTTAAAAATCTTTTGATGCAGTGACAGCCAGGGCCGGACCAGGGATGATTAATTGGTTGCCCAGGTAAAGACACCCAATAACAGCCATCAGGGGCGGCTCTAGACAGGGGCCAACAAGAGACAGTCCCCATCCAGAACTGGTTTCGTTTTATGGCCCCTGTATGACGGAGTATTAGGGCCAGGCTAGAGATTTTTTTTCCTTCTATTTCGAGATTAAAGTCGTAACATTACGAGATTGAAGTCGAAAAATTACGAGAATAAAGCCATAAAATTGCAAGAATTAAGTCGTAGTATTATGAGAATAAAGTCGTAAAATTACGGGAATAAATTCATAAAAGTTTGAGAATAAATTCGTAACATGACGGGAATAAAGTCGTTAAATTATGAGAATAAAGTCAGAAAATTACGAGAATAAAGTCGTAATGTTACGAGAATAAAGTAATAAAATTATGGGAGTAAAGTCTTAAATTTATGAGAATAAAGTCGTAATATTACAAGAATTAAGTCGTAAAATTATGACAATAAAGTCGTAAAATTATAAGAATTAAGTCGTAAAATTATGAGAATAAAGACGCAACGAGAATAGTCATAAAATTAGGA